AGCAACCTCCAACTCCTGGGCTTAGGCGATTCTCTTGACTCAGTCTCCCGAGTAGCTGGGACTACAGGTGCCCGCCACAACGCCTGGCTATTTTTTTTGTTATTGTTGTTGCAATTTGGCTGGGGCTGGATTTAAACCTGCCACCCTCAGTATGTGGGGCTGACACCCTACGCACTGAGCCACAGGCGCCACCTCGATTGCCTCCGTTTTTCTGTTTTTAGTAGAGATAAGGTCTCCCTCAGGCTGGTGTCAAACTTGTGAGCTCAAGCAATCCACCCGCCTCCACCTCCCAGAGTGCTGGGATTACAGGTGTGAGCCACCGCACCCAGCCTAAGTAGACTATTTCTTAGAGCAGGTTTAGGTTCACAGCAAAATTAAGATGACAATGCAGATTCCCATTTGCTGCACCCCTGCCCCTGTCATTTGTTTCAGTTGATGAATCTGCAGTGACAGTTTCATAGTTTGCATATGGTCCATAGTTTGCATAAGGGTCATTCTTGGCATTGTACGTTCTACATTTATTTGGTGTTTAGATCCTGACTTGTTCAGTGAAAGGTTTATGCCCTCTGAGGCCAGGGGTAATGAGAACCTGGTACTTTTCTCCCAGCTCTGAGAGGCTGGCCAGGAATTGATTTTTCCTGTTTTAAAGGTGAGGATCAGGGTGAGTAACATGTTTGCAGTAATAAAGCTGTAGGTGGCAGGGGATGGATGTGAACTCGTATTATACTATAATATGGGTTTATTATTATAACTTATATTATAACTTACCCTTTTCCGGAAATAAGTGGTCAGTGTGCAGGGCTGTGAGTTTTCCTATATGCTCACGTAAACATTTCTTGTGGGGATGCTATTTCGAATTTCCACCTGGTGTATACATCAGTGTTTTGCTTTGATGATGCACTTGTATGAGTGTGCATAGTTTTCTTTGAAGAATAATGTTTGAACTAGTAGAGGAAGGCTGTTGAATTATGATATTTGGAATATGTGAGTGTGTATGTACAGATACGCAAATGTAGACACATGCCCACAAACACACACATAGCACTTTTTGATTTTATTTTGTGCTCATATATTTTTCAATATTATAGCACCGTATAGAGTAAAAGCCAAAGTAAGGAAAATTTGAAAAGTCAGATCCGTACAGTGATATGTGACTTTAATGATGGAATAGATATTAGGGTATAAATGTGTACACAGGCAGAGATATTGGGATAGAAAGAAGTACAAAGTTTATTTTACTTTATTTTATTCTCTGATTGAAGGAGAGAGCGAGGGGAGAGGAAGAGTGAGCAGGAAAATGGCATGGACCAAAGAAAGAAGGAAAGTGCTGCCGCTCAGAAAATCCCTTGGGTTTTTAAAGGGAAAAGGGGCTCCTTTTTCTGTGGTGCAGATAATGGGAGGCGGTGGTGCAGCTGTGCTCATTTTTTTTTTAAACTTTCTCTGTGAGGCTTGTTTTATTATCAGGTCCTTGGAAAGTGTTCTGGGGGATGGGGATGAGGGGGAGGAATGTAGCCTTTCTGGAGATTAGTGTCCTTGAAGTGCTATGAAACAAAACTCTTTGAAGACACAGGTGATTGATCAAACAAAGGGGCATTCATATGTGTTTTCTCACCTTTTGTGTATTTTTCTTCATTAGCAATGTCATCCTTTTAATAGGATTAAATCAGTATACCTTTTTCCCCCTATTTTCACAATCACATCTTCTCTGTCACTAAATGATCCTAATGACCGTCAATGAGCCTCTATCATTTCCAGTTAGGCTCACATTTTGTGTACATCTGTTCATATTTCTCCCCGCCCCCCCAGCCCTCCAGAGAGTTTCAGTGTACATTCTGCTGTGGGAAAGTTCTATTTTGTAGGAGGCATTAATTGCTTCTAAAAGATTTCTTTTCCCAAACAGGATAAGTGTTTTGTTTATTGAGTTTGAAGTACAGTAAGACTGGTTATTCAAGACCATGTGGCCTAAGGAGTTAGCAACCAGTGCAGGAGGCAGTTGGGAAAGGATTCAGGAGGCAGGACCCAGTGATAAGGCAGGCAACCAGTGGGAAGGAATGATTTTTTTGTGTGTAAAATTTGGGTGTGTGAGTGGAAAGAGGTCAGTGAAATAGGAGATTGAGAATGTGACTGTCCGTGGAAACACCACAACTGCAGAAGTGTTAGGATACCCCTTGTATGACCTGTTAGCTCAGCTCAGCCACATAGATATAACTTCTTTTACAAAGCAGGGCGCTAGTCTTAGGTGCCAGGAAGAGTCTTTTTGAGGAAGCTGGCTTGGAAAATTCAATATAAGATGTGGAGTGTACACTAGGAAGAGTTTGAAGTGATGAAATAGCAGAGTGACAGAGGCTGAAACAATGGCAGTTGCATGAAGTAGATGAGATAACTTGGGAAATGATTATGATTCTAAGGTCTGTCATGACGTCAGTGTGATTTATCTCTGCGCCTCTGCTCTTGTCTCAGTGAGAGTGATGTTTATAGTGTGGCATTCAGTTGTTTTGAAGTCTTGGGAAGTCTTAGACTTTTTTTCCTTTTTGAGACAAGAGACTCAGTCACCCTAGGTAGAGTGTTGAGGTGTCACAGTTCACAACCACCCCTATCCTCTTGCCTCAGCCTCCCAAGTAGCTGGGACTACAGGCAACTGCCACAGCACCTGGCTAGTTTTTCTATTTTTAGTAGAGATGGAGTCTCTCTCTTGCTCAGGTTGGGCTTGAACTCCTGAGCTCAGGTGATTCACCCACCTTGGCCTCCCAGAATGGTAGGATTATAGGCATCAGCCACTGCTCTTGGCCTCTTAGACTTCTTTCTAAATCATTATCAAGAGTTGTTTTGGGGGGGTGGGGGTTGGGGTGTCCGTTGCTCAGTGGTTATGGCGCCAGACACATGCTCTGGGGCTGATGGATTTGAACCTGGCCTGGGCCTACTAAACAAACAAACAAAACAACCAAACAAAAAAAAAGGCATTGTTGGGTTTTAGGTTTTATGTGGAGTATAGTGTTAGTACATCTAGATTTGATTGTAATTTGCAATTTATGGTAATCTCTTGTAGAAGTAAATCCCTGCTTGCTTAACAGAGATCCTCCCCCCAACACCAGGTATGTCTGATAAGATCATCTAAGAGACCACAGCATAAGTACTGTTACCACCCCCACTTTGTAAATGAGAAGACGGAGTCTTAAAAGGGTAAATATCCTGCTGGTAGTCCACAACTAGTAAGTGGCAAAGCCCAGCCTCAAACCTGGGTAGGCCGAGTTTAAGTTTGAGCTTTTAACCACTGTGCTCTATTGTCATTTAATTTATTAGACATTTTCTTTCCCAGAGCACAGCAGGTCTGTGCTCCTGGGCCCATGCCCGACTCAGCCTAGAAAGTTTACCATTTGAGGCATGAAGCTCTGGGAATCAGCGCAGTGTAAGAGGCATCTATTTCTTCTGACCTTCAGGTTACACAGTCCCATTGTTTCCTACAAAGGTGCTGATACAGTTCATTACATGGGCTCATGGATTTTCATAAGTCCCTTTTTGAGCCCAGCTTCTCACATTTTGTGTTCTTCCCACCTCACTTTGTCCTTTCCCTAGTTCTCTTTCCTGCATGCCCAGTGGTCAGGGAGCTGTGGTCACAGAGCCTTGAAAGAATGGTCATCCCGTAGCTCGGAAGGTCAGCCTCCAAGACGGTTTGCTGACTATAAAGCAGTGGCTCAGTGTATGACACCTGCTGGGTGTCCTACAGTTTAATCCAATCACCACCTAGAGATAGCGTGTGCCCCACATGGCGTCTCCACTCCAGACACAAGTGTAAGCCACCTACACTTCTGACCGACCAAGTATAGAACAGGTTCCCACTACCCTCTCCTTCCACCCAGTAACTTGCCGAAGTGGCTCACAGCACTCAGGGAAGCTCTTTACTTATATTACTGATTATTATAAAGGATAAAAATGAACAGCCAGATGAAGAGGTAGGGAAGAGATTACTCAGGGCACAGCCCAGCAGAGTCTTAGGCACAGGGGCAGTTGAGTGTGCCACCCTCCTGGCACATGGGTGTGCTCACCATCCCAAAGCTCTGAATTGATCTGAGATTTTATAGAGGTGCCACTATGTCGGAATGATCAATTAAATCAATCTGTAGTTCTGTCCTTCTTGATTCCCAGTGGGGGTGTTAGTGTGGGGAGATTGATCTAAAACTCCAACCCTCCAAACCACATGGTCGGCTCCCCTGGCAACCAGCCCCCATCCTGAAGCTGTGTAGGGGCTCAGGCAGAGTTGCCCCATTAGCATAAACTTGGTATGGTTGAAAGGGGCTTATCATTAATAACAAAGTATGCTCCTCTCTCTCTCTCTGTCACTCAGGAAATCCCAGAGGTTTCAGAAGCTCTTGTGCCAGACCAAACACGTTCTCACTACCTGACAATGTCTAACGGGGGTGCTCTGTGCTCCTTTTCCAGCTGGCCTGCTGCTGTGGGACTGCAGGCTGCTCCCTGTGCTGCGACTGCTGCCCCAAGATCCGACAGTCCCGGAGCACACGCTGCATGTACGCCCTCTACTTCATCCTGGTTGTTGGCCTCTGCTGCATCATGATGTCCAAAACCGTGGCTAAGGAGATGAGAGAGCACGTAAGTCTGTCTCCATCCAGCCCCTCCTATATCTGATGTGTGACAAGGGCAGTTGAGAACCTTGTGCTTTAGAGGACAGACTCGCTCATCCCAGTGTGGTTCAGGGTGTGCTTGTTCTCTGGGAACCTTCCCAAATCCTGTTCCATACTTTCCTGCCAGGCCAGCACACCATTCAGGGGTTTGATTTTTAGTCCTAGTATAGATGCAATCTGATGCTTTTGGCGGAGAATGTTTTCTTTTTTTAAATTTCAGATTAATATAATGGTACACATGATTAGGTTACATTTTTTGTATTTGTTGGGTAAAGTTCAAGTTGCACTTGAACCCTTTAGGTAAAGAATATTTGTATTGTCTTAGCCTTGTCTGTAGCTGTTCCTGATGAAATGTGCCATCTTTCTTACAGACTCTTGTCAGAAGGGCGGCTGCTGGTATTTCAAGTAGCAGCTGTTGTTATAAACTCTTAACTTGGCCTATCTGGGAAGATGATAAAGCTTAGATATTGCCACAGACAATGGACAGTGGGCTCTGGGGCATTTTTTTATCTTTTTGGAGAGATAACTTGTGGGGTGTGTGGTATCTCTAGGGGTGAGGGATGGATTTCTAGCTATTTCTTAGGCACTGTATTCAGAAGTAGTCCTGGCATATAATGTTGAAGGAGGTACATATAGGACCTTTTCTGGAATTTTCCCTCCCCCCCATAGCAGGCTTCTTGTTCAGCCAGATTGCAGGGGGGTGGTGGGTATGTGTGGCTTTTGAGTGTACTCAATAAATAATATAGGAATTTCCCTCACAGCTTCTGAACTAGTGGATGAAAAAGATTAAAGTGTCAGGAGCTAGTTGTTCAACATTACCTTTATTCCTCGTGAAACTATTGAGAGATGATGTGGCTCATGTCTGTAGAGGACTTTCTTCAACTGGACCCCAGATAAGTCTGGTTTACCAGCAGGGCACCATCAGCACTGGAACAGGGCAGACGTCCTTTGGAATGGCACCATTTCACCGTTTGTTGGAGAGCGAGTGAGAGTGGCAGGTGCTCTCATCCTGGAGAAAGAGGGGGAGGAAAGGCCAGCTGTCCCCATTTTCCTTACAGACTTACCACTCAACTCTACACTCCTGTCCGAACAAGCAAGGTGGCAGGAAGCCAGGAGCAGACTCTAATGGAGCCTCCTCTACCAAGGAGGTGACATTACTAGGAACAGTTCTTAGGAAGTATTCTCTCCAACATAGGCTGAAACCAAGACTATCTGAAATATACTTTGATGCTTCAAAACAACCATTTTCTTAAAAGCACTTTGTATATTTTCATTCATTAGTTAAAGCAGGCCCCTTTGAAGCTTTCTGTTGGACAGTATTCTTATAATCATGGTTATATGGTGTTGGATATAGTGGGGGCTACTCTTAGAACTTGTAAAATTTAGGCCAGATGTGGTGGCTCATGCCTGTAATCCTATCACTTTGGGAGGTTGAGGCAAGAGAATCACTTAAACCTAGGAAGTTGAGACCAGCCTGAGCCAGGAGGTTGAGACTGGCCTGAGCACTATAGCAAGACCCTGTTAGTACAAAAAAATAGAAAAACTAACCAGGTGTTGTGGCAGGCACCTGTAGTCCCAGCTACTCAGGAGGCTGAGTAAAGCTTCAAAGGGCCTGCTTTAACTAATGAATGAAAATATACAAAACACTTTTAAGAAAATGGTTATATTGAGTCTGAGCAAGAGTGAGACCCCTTCTCTAAAAATAGCTGGGTGTTGTGGTGGGTGCCTGTAGTCCCAGCTACTTGGGAGGTTGAGGCAAGAGAATCACTTGAGCATAAGAGTTTGAGGTTTCTGTGCACTCTATCAGGGGTGACAAAGTGAGACTCTGTCTCAAAAAAAAAAAAGAAAGAAAGAAAGAAAATTGTTGTTTTGAAGTAGTAAAGTGTATTTAAAATAGTTTTAGTTTCAGGCTGGGTACAGTGGCTCATGCCTGTAATCCTAGCACTCTGGGAGGCCGAGGTGGGTGGATTGCTTGAGCTCATGAGTTTGAGACCAGCCTGAGCTTTTAAAGCGAGACCCTTTCTCTACTAAAAATAGAAAAACAGAAGCAAGAGGATTGCTTGAGCCCAAGACTGCCATGGCACTCTACCTAGGGGGACAGCTTGAGACTCTGTCTCAAAAAAAAAAAAAAAGTCTTAGTTTCAGCCTAGGACAGTGGTTCTCAGCCTGTGGGTTGTGACCCACAGGAACTGTATTAAAGGGTTGTGGCATTAGGAAGGTTGAGAACCACTGGCCTAGGAGAATCGCTCAAGCCCAGGAGTCGCAGATTAAGGTGAACTATGATGATGCCATTGCACCCCTGCCCACGGGGGCAATGGAGACCTTGTCACCCCCCCCAAAAAAGTCTGTAACTGTACAAATACATAGTAGAGTCATTGGAAGTGGCATAATTTAGAAGCCATAGGTATATGTTTTAGGGTGTGAAATTCTTAATGATGGTATTAACACTTGAGTGCCATCCAAGTAAGCTGCCCCATGAAACCGTCCTTAACAAATCCTGCCAGTATCTGTGCTTTCTGACTGTTCATAGGAGATTTGAGAAACAGAAGATGTGGGTGGCACCTGTGGCTCAATGAGTAGGGCGCCGGCCCCATATATAGAGGGTGGCCCCATATATAGAGGGTGGCCGGTTTGAACCTGGCACCGCCCAAACTGCAACAAAAAATAGCCAGGCGTTGTGGCGGGCGCCTATATTCCCAGCTACTCCGGAGGCTGAGGCAAGAGAATCGCCTAAGCCCAAGAGCTGGAGGTTGCTGTGAGCTGTGATGCCACGGCACTATACCAAGGGTGACAAAGTGAGACTCTGTCTCTTCCCCCCCCCCCAAAAAAAAAAGAGTAACAGATGATGTTGGCTGGTATTGCTGACGGCTTCCTGGAAGAAGTGACTTGTAATAAGTGCTGTATGTAATAGCTAACATTTATCGAATGATACCATATGTCCGGTTCTGTTCTGAGTATTTTACCTGTATCTTCTCTCTTCACCACCACTGTCCTCACCTGAACAGTAGGAACTATCATTATCCCTGCCTCACAGATGGGGAAAATGAAGCATTGAGTTATTTAAGTGTGTTGTGCAAGGTCTCCAGCTGTTAAGTGGTGGCCTTGGGGTCTGAATTCAGGCCGAATGTGCTTTTAGCTGTGAGGCTGAGTCACTAGAGAGGAGGAGAAAGGGCAAGGACAGGCCCATGTAGCTCAGAGAGGTGCGGGTGGGCAAAGCGACTCAACCTTGCAGGGATTTTTGAGCTAAGATGAGGAGTTTGAACATGGTCTTGTGGCAAATGGGAAGCCAGGATAGATTCTTGAGTCATCATGGATACAGAAGTAGATATTTGGGAGGTGAGCCCAGCGGTGTGGGGAGAGTTAGGTCAGAGAGCACCGGGGGGAGGCAACCCCGATGCCTCACAGAGGCTCTTAGAAATGCTTCTGTGCCCTACTGTGAACGTACCTATTTAAACGTGGCTTTGCTGGGCTTCCTGCTTAGCGACTGAGGTGCCTGTGGGTGAAAACCAATCCTTTCCTATCTTTAGGGCCTCACAGGGGCCTGACATCTGCCCACAAAGCCAGCTTGTTTGTGGCCTATAGAATAGAGGCTGACCTCACCCTCAGGCGATGCTTGTGGTTGGTATTGAAAGGTCCCCTTGTGGGGACACACACTGGGCTTCTGCTGGAGTCCTCGCCCCCTCTTTGTTGGCCAGGGAAGTGCTTGAGAATGTGATTGGAAGAGGAGAAAGAACTGTGTGCTTGTAACGGCCTTGGGCCCTGACGGAGTGTGCGATTGCCTCCCACCCAGCATTCTGTCAGAGTCACAAGGGTCCTTGTGTGTGGGTTACTAGCTGAGGGCAGCTCCCTTTTCAGTTATTTCCGGGTTTTGCCTTGGCTTCAGAACGTGGCCTGTGTCAGAGTGAGAGGGAACTGCAGGGGGTGCTGGGCCAGTCTTCCCCCCTTCTTTTCTCTAAGGAAACCCCTCGTTCCAAGGAGGACTTGGGCTCAGAGAAAGCTTGACTGTTGTCTGAATGTCCCGTGTTTAAACATAGGAGCCATTTTTTTGCAGGTCATTCTTATCATTAACCTGTAATTTAAGGCAGATATAGAGGGAAAAGAGTTAATGCCCGGGGGATTAAAAACCTATTTTATTTATGAATGAATGAATGAATGAATGAGATGAGGAGGGGGATGTCTCCCTATGTTTCTCTAGGTTCAAGAAGTCCTCTAGTCTCAACCTCTCCAGTAGCTGAGACTACAGACCGGTACCACCAAGCTGAAAATCCCTTTTAGAATGTAGAACATAAAGGGGGGACAGTGGTTGAAAGTTAAACCTTGTGACCTGCACCACTAAGGTGTTACTTCTGTAGGTGAGGCAGACTCAGGTTTAGTACCCTGGGCAGACACCTGAGCATTTGGGGTAGGGGAGCAAGGAATGCTAGGATTACAGGTGTGAGCTACCGCCTAGCCTTAAATATTTGCAACCTGAAACATCTTAGATCTGCCCTTTTCATTTCATTCCCTGTTGGCCACCCTAAACCCCAGCCCTAGACAACCATTTACTGGCTGTGGATTTGCCTGTTACAGATATTTCATTTAAATGGAACCGTATAATATATAGCTTTCTGTACCTGCCTTTTTCCCTTTAGCCTGTTCTCCCCTCCTCTCTTCTCCCCTCCCCTCTCCCCTTCCCTCCCCTCCCCTCCCCTCTTCTCCTCTCTTTTCTTTTCTTTTTTTTTTTTTTTGGACAGAATCTCACTCTGTTACCCTGGGTAGAGTGCTGTGGTGACAGCAACCTCAAACTCTTGGGCTTAGGCAATCCTCCTGTCTCAGCCTCCTGAGTAGCTAGGACTGCACCTGGCTAGTTTTCCTATTTTTAGTGGACACAGGGTCTTGCTGTTGCTCACATTGGTCTCAAACTCCTGAGCTCAAGGGAGCCACTGTACCCGGCCTACTTAGCACCTTGTCAAGGTTCACTCACGTTAT